TGGGATTTTACGGACTTGTCTATGTTGGAGAAGATGCTTTCATCTCCAGTCATGTGGTTACTACAGCCGCTGTCAATATACCATTTCTTGTTGGTTCCTTCTGGTGTGGCTTGATGAGCATAAAACACATGCTCATTCTTCTCACTTTTTTCTGAGTAATTAGCTTGATAGTTCTTGGTCCGACAGTCTTTTTCTATGTGCCCAAATTTTTTACAATTTCGACATTTGGGCTTGCCACGGAACCAACAATATTTTTCTAGATGGTTTGTGTTTTTACACACCCCGCAGGGAGGATAGATTTTTCTTTCCTTTATTTCTTTTTTATTTCCCCAATTCTTATTGGATTTATAATTTTCTCTTCCAGAACTTTCTCCAATTTTCCTTTCCCCTTCTTTAGTTTTCTGAGACCTTAAATTTAGTTTTGACTGAAAGGCGCTTTCTATTGAATTTTCATTTCGCCTACTCAGTCTTTTCTCATAAGCTTCAAGGGAGCCCATTAGTTCTGTCACTGACAGACTAGTTAAATATTTTGTCTGTTCAATGGCAGTAACTAAAGGATCATACTTATCAGGAAGACTTATAAGTATTTTTTCTACAATTCTTGAATCATTAATATTTTCTCCATAGGCTCTCAATTGATTGATTATTATTTTTATTTTAGCATAATAGTCTTGTGTGGTCTCAGAATCCTTCATTTTAATGTTTTCAAACTCTCTTCTCAAAGTTTGTAGTTTAACAGCACGTACCTTGGCATTGCCTTGAAATTCCTCCTTTAAGGTATTCCATGCTTCCTTTGCAGTTGTGGCTCCCATGATTCTTGGAAAAATCGTATCATGCAAGGCTTGTTGCAGGGCATATAAGGCCTTTGCATCGTTTTGTTGATCTTTCTTCAGTTGCCTCAACTGTTCCACAGTTGGGTTTTCTGGATTATTGAAGCCACTATCAACTATGTCCCATAAATCCTGAGACATAAAATAGGTCTTCATTTTAATACTCCAGAAGTCATAGTTTTCCCCCGTGAAAATAGGAAGAGGGTCAGAGTTTTGGCTAGTGGTAGTGGAGGACTAGTGAACCAACGCCCAAAGTTGATCGAAACAAGCTCTGATACCACTGTTAGTTGAAGGGAGAAGAGAGGCTTAGAGAATAGTTGATTTACTATTTAGGACAATATTCTTTATGTGGAATAGAAAGCTTTTTTAAAAGGGTAACAAGATAATTTTATTTTATTGATTGAAATAAGAAGGGTACAAGGCTTTAGAATTGGTTGGATACAAGGGTTGGCTAAAGGGAGGAGTTAGGCAGCTGTAGATTTCAAGTTATCCTTGATTACACAATTGGGCTGCTATTGCTATATATATAGAGTAGCATAACTGACTTAAAGATGGCAAATATCTAGTGAAGTCGGTTATTGCATAGTAACCGACTTCTCAAACTATTTTCCAGCCACTAGTTATAACTTATAATATAAGTCTAGAATAGTCTAGTTACAATATATTAAATAATTAATAGGATGTTTCTAGTGTAGAGCTCAAATTTGACTTGTCTATTTTCACTCAATTGTTCTGGATTTTTCTATATCATTCAAGATTTTTCTTTATTATTTAATGTGCATTACTTTTTAACACAAGTCAACGGAGTTATGGGTAGGCTGTCTTTTTCATTCATTAAATTCTGCAATTCTTCATAACATGCTTGGCTTTCAATTGAAGCTTTTAATTAATTTTCCACAGCTCATCAGAGACACCAGCAAAGGCTAGTCTGTTTCCTGACCGCTACCACTTCAAGTCGTCGATATCCATGGCTCTTGTGAAAGCAGCTGATCCACAGACCTCCTCTTCTAATGCTTCTCGATATTGTCGTTATCACGTGTTCCTGAGTTTCAGAGGCCAAGACACTCGCAAGACTTTCACTGACCACCTCTACACGGCCCTTGTCAACGCCGGATTTCGCACTTTCCGAGACAACGATGAAGTCGAGAGAGGAGAAGGTATCAAGCCCGAACTGCAGAAAGCAATCAAACACTCACGAACTTCTGTCATTGTGTTCTCGAATGACTACGCGTTGTCCAGATGGTGCCTTGACGAGCTGGTGATGATCCTTGAACGCAAGAGGAGGACCTCAGATGACCATGTCGTTTTGCCCGTCTTCTACGATGTGGATCCATCCCATGTGATGAAGCAGACAGGAAGTCTTGCAAAGGAATTTGCTAGACACCAAAAAACTCAACCGCTGCAGAAGGTGAAGGCATGGAGGGAGGCACTTGCAGAGGTTGCAAATCTGGCAGGGATGGTCTTGCAAAATCAAGCTCATGGGTAAATTCATTCCTACTACCAACTGAATTAGTTTCTTTATTTGGTTGCAACTGAATTAGTATCTCGTTATTAATATGTATTTGGCACTTTCCATAGTTCAAAATTTGATCTAGATTTGAAACTAGTTGTTTTAATTATTATCTAGATTTGAAGTAGTTTTTGTTTAAGTTTGGTTGAGCTTTAGTTCTAGACCAGGATAGATCTAGACTTAATCAGTTTTGACATGCTACGGACTAAATTTTGATAGATTCTGTCCTTTCAAAAAAAATAAAAAATATTGATAGATAATTTAATAACCCTAATATCCAGCACATCCACAAAAACACTCAAGACACCCTCAGCAATCCAGATTCTTCTAAAGGCAAGGGAATGACTGAGATGCAAAGACAGAGAAATACCTATTATCCAGCTGTTATTGCAAACATAGTTTTAAGTTCTATCTAACTCTTTCAGCGCTCATCTATTATATATTTGTACCTTCTAACTTTATGAACTTATTTCCATGGTATTTTATAACTTAAGTATATGAAATCATGCATGCATGTTTGAATTCTCTTTCATTTTGATTGCAATTTTTTAGGTATGAGTCAAAGTTTATCAAGAAAATAGTTAAAGTGATCGGAGACAAACTAAGTCGCACACCCTTAAGTGTTGCTCCCAACTTGATTGGAATGCATTCTCAAGTCGAAGGAATTAATTTATGGTTACAAGATGGATCAAATGATGTTGGCATACTTGTAATTTATGGGATGAGTGGAATAGGGAAAACAACCATCGCAAAGACTGTTTACAATTCAAACTTTAGAATATTTGAAGGAAGCAGCTTCCTTGAAAATATCAAAGAAGTTTCAGATCAACCCAATGGCTTAGTTCAAATACAAACACAACTTCTTTATGATATTTTGAATGGGAGAAAAATGAAAATAAGCAATGTTAGTGAGGGATTAATTAAGATTGAAGATGCAATAAGCTCTAAAAGGGTTCTTCTTGTTCTCGATGATGTGGATCATATGGACCAATTAGATGCAGTATTTCAAGTGAAAGATCGATTTTATCCAGGAAGTAAAATCATCATAACAACTAGGCGTGCAAGATTGTTAAAGGCTCATCAAGTTACTGAGGTGTATGCAGTTGGCACTTTGACTCAAAAAGAATCATTGGAGCTCTTCAGTTGGCACGCTTTTGGCCAAGACCATCCTGTTGAAGATTATATAGAATATTCAGAGAAGCTAGTCGATCATTGCCGAGGACTTCCATTAGCTCTCAAAGTTTTAGGTTCTTCTTTGTTGGGGGAAAGTGTATGTCTATGGAAAAGTGCATTGGAGAAGTTAGAAGTTATTCCAAATGGTGAAATAATAAATAAGCTAAGAGTAAGCTATGACTCTTTGCAAGATGACCATGACCGAAAATTATTCCTCCACATTACTTGTTTCTTTATCGGAATGGACAAAGATTACGTTGTTAAAATACTGGATGGATGTGATTTCTACACAATTGTTGGCATTCAAAATCTCATTGACAGATGTTTGGTGATTATTGATGGATGTGACAAGGTGCAGATGCATGACCTAATTCGTGGAATGGGAAGAGAAATTGTTCGCCTAGAA